ACTGGTATCAGATTAATTATTTACCCTATCGAATATATCAGAGTTTTTGGTGCCACGGTGTAGTATATCTCCATACCCCACTCCCAGTCCGAAACATTCCGTAATTATCTGTGCTAGGCCGCGATAGAATGAGAGCGACCCAACTAGTGGGGACTTTAAGTTGCCCTTCATTGTACCTGTTGAACCAATTGCGATGACTCAGTTAGTGATTCACGATCTGCTATATATTTTTTAAAGCTATTTTAAAATCCTTGTATTGCCAATTTCACCAATTTATAATACGAAATATTTTTTCCGGACTTTTAGTTACATATTTTTCTTTGTTTCAGTTTAAAAATTTAAATAGAAGGCATTGTAAAAGTCTACATTAAAAAATTATCCAATTGCGGATATTAGTGATTCCAATGACGAACACAAGAGTTCGCTTATGGGTCTAAAATTGTGAACATGTTTGTTCCTTTCTAAAATTATGAAATTAATTTATATGCAACAAGGTCAGTAACTGCAAAAATTTTCAAGTATCTCCAGACTTAATTTTTTAAACTGATTTTTAACTTTCACTAATTATGTATTTAAAATAAGTAATAAGTAAATAAGTTACAATAATACAAAATTAATGCGGAAATATATTAGTTTAAAAAATATATATGCTCCTATCATAATAGCTAATTGAGTAAGTGGGAGCGCCAAAAACTTAAAAAAAATAAATTTGCAACAAATCTAACTTTACTTTCTAAAAGACGCTCTACAAAATTCATGGTCGAGATTTGCGATATTGAATATTTTCATTATTATTTAAGGGCCCGTTGATAAATTTTAACTTTATGTCATATATTTTTATTAGATTTCAGTATGTATCCATAGAACACGCGTAAAGGTAATATGAAAACGATTTTAAAAATAAGTATTCAATAAATCAGCAACAATGATACTTGTAATATATGTAATAGCACTTTCGTTATAGAGTAAGTAATAAGTAACAACATTTTTGAAAAATTTAAACATCTAGCGATATTAGTTCCATGGTCCTTACATTTCTTAAAAAATTAAAAGTACTAAAAATTATTTTTTTTTCAGTGCGGAATTTATCGAGCTTATACACCATCTGTTATCCCTTCTCCAACCCTCGAACCTTTGCTCCGTTTTGTCTGGCTTAACCTTTTACTCGACCTCTGCGTTCTATACTTTAATTGAACATTCTTTTTCTAATACACACCTTCAAAATTCAACGTAAGAAATAACAACACTTATCAAAATAAATGAAGAACAAAATATGTAAGTAGTTTCCACCCTTTAGACGGCTACGGGCAAAACAGTTGAGGGCTGTTATGCTCAGTGCATTGCGACCATTGCGCAGTAAAAACAAGAAAAGTTTGCTTTCCCACATCTTCCTCCATCCCGTCCAGCAGAAGGTAGTTTTCACCCCCCTAGGGGGTTGATTCTTTGGGTGTATTCACCGTCCATCATGTCTCTCTTGCATTCTCAAGACTTGTAAGCTAGAAGCTTTCATGACGCAGATCTATATCCGGAAGGGTATAGAAGTAGAAGAGGTGTAGAAGGCATATCAACTCCTTCGGGGAAGCCCTTGGCGATAATATATATAGAGCACGAGGATTGCAAAGTGTCCATTCATCTCCTTTCCGTAATCATACTGATATTCATAACTTTACCCCTATAGGGATGTTTTTGACTCTACACATAAATTTAAGGAGTATACGATTTTTTGACCTCGGAATCCGATCAGCGTCGAAAAATACATAGGAATACCATGGTCAGTCATCCACATCACGACCTTTTTTTTTATTTTGGGAGGCTGTGTTATCCAAGCAAAATATTGTCAAGAAGCTGATTCGTTACCGAAAGGGTAATAATATTAAAAATGAAGTTTTTCTTCCTACGAGTATATTTCTTTATTTAAATAAATGCGTTTTTCCTTCACATTTATTTCCCTTCACAAATAGTTATTTGGTAATTGAGTATGTCATGGAAGGGTCAAATGCTGAAGTAGATAATTATCTACATATATAAAGTCTTTCTAACTGTGGACTGATTGTAATTTTTTTAAATATAAATAAAGGCTTTTTAGAGAGTTATGGAAATTGAAAATTTAAAAATTTGTATTAAATTTCTTTTTAAGGTTGAAGAATGGTTAAATCGCATTCAAAGTTCCATGAGAGAAACAATTAGAATTTCCATTGGCGAAGGAGTTTTGTCTTACGAAGAGAAACCTAGAGACCAGTGGCTATTCGATTTTCCCGCACAGGTTTCTCTATGTGGGACGCAAATCTGGTGGACCACAGAAGTGAATATAGCCTTCTCTAGACTTGAGGAAGGTTACGACAATGCCATTAGAGATTATTACAAGAAACAAGTGGCGCAACTTAGTACATTAATTTCTTTATTACTAGGCGACCTATCAAAACAAGATAGGCAAAAAATTATGACAATATGCACGATTGATGTTCATTCCAGAGACGTCGTTGGTAAACTGATTCAAACGAAAGTGGATAGTGCTTTGGCTTTCCAGTGGGTTTCTCAACTGAGACATAGATGGGACGAAAAAGAGAAACAATGCTTTGCCAACATATGCGATGCACAATTTAGATACAGTTACGAGTATTTGGGAAATACACCGAGGCTAGTTATTACTCCTCTGACAGATAGATGCTACATTACGTTAACACAAGTAAGTAATATTTTACGTACCATCAGTTCAGCAAGAGTGTTCATTCAGGATTTTGTTGCAGCCGGCGCCGGATAGCGATTCGGCAGCCGCGGCGGAAAAATAAAAGCAACGCGAAAGTTAAATAATGTGACGACATAAGCATTCTGTAATACTCATTAGGTTAAGTAACAGGTCTGTGTGTAATTCAAAATATCAGTGGGTTTCGGCATTCTTGAAAATTAATATAAATAACGCAATGATTTACTGTTAGGATAGCTTCTAAAGAATACTTGATGAGAACATGGTTTCATCACGCATGTCGGCTAGACTTAAAGTGCGAAAACGATAACGAGTCATGCTCTCTCTACAGTTGTGCAAAGATCACACATAGGCAACTTTACTGGTAAGAGATTGAAAATTACCCCCCACTACTTGACTCCAGAGCCCGAGAGGACAGCGAAATGCGTCTGCCCTTTTTTTAGACAGAGACAAAATAAATTTCTGTTGTCTCTGTTAGCATTCATTTTGAAATTTAACAGCTGACGCCGGAACTTCATCATGATTCATACGTTACAATATAATTTTAGAATTTTCAGAAAATGTAATAATGTGAATGAAGAAATTATACGTGAAACATTGCCAATGACATCAATTTACAAATGAACTACATGGTGATTTACAAACAGTGACAAAAAATGAAACCTCGAATTATTTAGTGAATTTTAAGGTAGGTCTTTCATATAAAGTTTTTGTCTAGGACGGTTCACTAAAACAATCCAGTGTTAAATTAATATTTTAAATTTTTTATAACATTTTAGAAACTAGTGAGTGAAATAATTTGAAATTAATCACATGAATGTATGTAAATATTGTACAAAATCGGAAGCATTTTCTTAAAAAACAATGTTCCAGTGGCTGAGATACAGGGCTTTATTATGATATTTTCGAATTCTCCTTACAATTTTCTACAAATCACCACCCCTTTATGTTTTTCGAAAAAAAAAAACATTTTCGTTGAACTGAAAACATTGTTTAAATTACAATAGAAACACTTTTTTTAATCTATTATTTAATCGAATAAAGAACATCTCATAGATGATTTTATTTGAGTAAATGCTCAAAAATACCTCTATTTGCGCAAAAACAGTCTACTAATGTAACGATTAAACAGCATTGTATTCAAATATCGAAGTGTCTTCAGTTCATTTTTTAAGTTTTACTCAGGAAATCAGGCTTTTTTGGAAAAATATAAAAAATAGTAATTTGTAGAAAATTGGAAGAGGAATGCGAAAATATCATGATTGTTATAATAAAGCAGCGGCATACTTTTTTATTTAGACAAATATTCCAGCAATACCCTGCAGCATTTATTTTTTAATTTTTATTATTTGTAAAAAATTAAAAAATTTTTAAATTTTCATACCCTGTATTTTTTTAACGAAACTTCCTAGATAAAAGCTTTATACGAAAGAGCCCTCTTAAAATTCACTAAAGAATACGAGGTTTCATTTTTGGTCAATGTTTGCGAATCACCTTACGAATATAATGAGAAGTTATCGTATGCCCCTTTACACCCAATGAACTTTTCTTATACCCCTCGTATGTGCAATAATTGCCCTTGAAAGTGTTTCTTGCTCCAAACACCGATGGCGTATTTGATGCATTTTTTCATTGAGTTGCCTATCTATTTCTTACATAGTATATCTTATCTATGGCAAAGATAATGTCATAGTTGCTGTAGTTAGCGTGGGAAAACAGGTACAGCTGTGCCGACTGATATAACCAGGGCGCTGCAACCCTGTATGGAGTGGATTTGGTGGAGCGGTAAACTTTTATTAGTAATAAATAATGTGATAAGTTATTCGCGATAGCTTGTAAGAAATTTATAAGTGCGTGATGTCATAGCCGTCAGGTCACCTTTTTCTTGCTGAGCAAGCGCTTACAAACTGGATAAAATAAAAGACGTCAGTTCATTGGAGTTTTAAGAAAATATATCAAAAGCATTGCTCAAGAAAAAAATGTTTGGTGCCATTAACAGACAAGTAATAGTGAAGCAATTTATTAGAACCAGTCAACTAGAAGTTGATACAGTAATGACGTTGGCAGAGGGCAAAGTCAATCTACCCGAATGCTACATAAAAATAATTTGGGCTCCTGACATTATTGAATTGAAAAAAAAAAGTTGACGAGAAGCCCGTATACTTAGTGAGCAAGGGCATAGTTCCCAAAACCATAAATTTGGAATTTGTGGAATAACAAAAATTTGGATGCCGAATAAATGGTGAGATTAAATGGATTCTAAATATTCAATATTTAAGGGAAGATAAAAAGTATATTGAGATTGTGAACAAAATACGTAATGTTTACATCTCCGATCAAAAAGAGGACTCAGCTGAACGATCATAATGACATCGTTCCATTGGTTTTATGTTCACAGCACAGTTAGATGTGAGAGGTGTTGGATGCAGGATGCACCCGATTTCAGCAAAGAATAATAAAATTTCCTCACATTATTGAACCTGTAAAAATTAATCAAATATAATGAATCTTAACCTTTTTAATATATTCTGTATATACACTGAGCTCGTAAAGTTTGGAATAAATTCGATAAATCGTTATTGAAGGGTTTTGACAGGAAATCCTCGGACACGTCAACTTTAGTTTGTAAAATGTGACTTTTTTCAGCCATCGACTTTTTTTTTGTTTTGTTTGTTTTTGAGCTATGACGTCATCGGCAATTTTTTTAAATGGCAACCCATATTTTTTTCCACGGATTTCGATAGAGCACATTTTTCTGAGTACGAATATGTCAAAAACGTATGACCTTCAAAATGGAAGTTTTCGAGATATTCGGTTCCAAAGTTTCAAGAATGCATTATACAAGCGATGACAAAGTACTAATCATTTATCAAGGAAGCTCTGAAAAAATTACAGTTTTGATAGTTGTCAGAATTTTGAAGTTTGTCCTCGCAAGTTTGTGTTTTATTTTAAGTTAATTAATCATTATTCTATCAGAATTCATTTTATTTGAAAATGGTTCGTCGTTTGAGTGAAAGGGAAAGAATCGAAATTTTGATGATGATCGGTTACGGGGACAGAGCTCGCACACAAGTAGAAGTTTGCCGTTTATTTAATAACAAATATCCAAACAGAGAACCAATTACACAGTCCACGGTTAGTAAAATAGAGCAAAAGTTTTTAGAAATGGGTCATGCGAGAGATCGCCCTAGAACGGGTCGTCCACCAGTACAAGAAGATGTTAAATTGAATGTTCTACTAGAGCTTCAAGAAAATCCCCATTTACCCACCCGCCAAGTGGCGGCAAACAACGGAATAGTTCAAAGCTCCGTCTTAAAATATTTGAAATTGTACAAATGGCATCCGTATAAAGTGGTTTTGGTCCAACAATTAAACGAAGATGATCCTGACCGTAGGTTACAGTTTTGTGAAACCATGTTGCAACGCCTGATTGATGACGACGGATTCTTACGCAATATTATTTTTTCTGATGAGGCTACCTTTTATCTCGACGGCACAGTAAACCGGCAAAACTGTAGATATTGGTCTCCTGAAAATCCACACTGGAAAATGGAAACTCGTAGTCAGTTTCCACAAAAAGTTAACGTTTGGGCTGGCCTTGTTGCTAACCGCATTTTGGGTCCATTTTTCATTGAAGGCGCATTAACAGGTGAAAAATATTTTGAATTTTTAAGAGACGTTTTAGTCCCTGCACTTGCGGTGCTTTACCCAAATGACGTAGATCCCGATCTGCCCAATAACACGATATGGTACCAACAAGACGGTGCACCTCCTCATTTTGCAGTGATCGTTCGCAACTATTTAAACCAAATATTTGCTAACCGTTGGATTGGTCGAAGAGGAACTATCGAATGGCCCCCTAGATCTCCGGATCTCACTCCCCTAGACTACTTTTTATGGGGCTATTTAAAGAGCAAAGTCTACTTCAATAGACCAAATACCATTGAAGAATTAAAGGACAGAATTCGCAATGAAATTCGAGCCATTCAACCAGATATTCTTCATAAGGTTCTGCAGGAGTTTCAGTGGCGAATGGGATATTGCCAAGAAGTGAATGGAGGTCACTTTGAAAATTTCCTCTGATTTTCTTGTTTACTTTAATTATTTATCATTTGCACAGAAACCTTTTTTTATTTGTTAAAATTGTTGTTGATTATTACTTAAAAAATTAAACAAATTGCTCCTAAAATCTCTCAAAATGTTCGATAAGCTATTAAAAAACTTGACCCACTCGATACCTTGTATATGGTACATCCTTGAAACTTTGGAACCTAATAGACAGTTTAAGTTATGTATCGGACATAACGTATACGTAGAATTTGACCGTTGCGCATGCTCAAATTAATATCATGATCATCTACAATCAACTTAAACTGTCTATTATCTCGAAAACTTCCATCTTGAAGGTCATACGTTTTTGACATATTCATACTCAGAAAAATGTGCTCTATCGAAATCCGTGGAAAAAAATATGGGTTGCCATTTAAAAAAATTGCCGATGACGTCATAGCTCAAAAACAAACAAAACAAAAAAAAAGTCGATGGCTGAAAAAAGTGACATTTTACAAACTAAAGTTGACGTGTCCGAGGATTTCCTGTCAAAACCCTTCAATAACGATTTATCGAATTTATTCCAAACTTTACGAGCTCAGTGTATGTATATATGATATAAATGTTTAATAAAATAATTAAAATTATTATATTAAAATTAAAAGATAAATAAAAATTAATTGTCCAATACAGGTATCTTTCTTATTTTAAGAGATACAGAAATGGTGAAATGAGCACAATTTTGCAGATTTTTATGCCGATACCGATTTTTCAATCAATCTTGCTGTCAGTATTATCTCTAAAAACTTGTGCTGAGCGGTGATCAACTTTTGTTTTTGTTATGGACGCCATATTCATTTTTTGTCTCATTAGAAGAAAAGGGAAATTCTCTACATAATAATGTATAATTTATGGGGTTTTCATAAATAAATAACCAAGATATTCAATATAATTATAATTTTAATAAAAAAAGTTACGTAGCCATAACATATCTTATTGTTAATACTTTTTAATACGGCAACCCTTTATGTAACAATAAAGAGCAACTAACAAAACAACATAGAATTCAATGGTAAATTTTTCCCGCCGCTACTCCTGCACGTACGTGGTGCACGACGACCTCCTGATCATTATCGACGAACGCCATCTTTTTTTTTGCAGCCCCGCTCGTCATCTCCTCTTCCACTGACACTTCTTCAGCATGATCTTGGAGAACATCATGGACATCGCAGCTGGAGGCTAGTGCTACTCCTGCACGCACGTAGTATACTTACCCTCTCTGACATCACTATTCTCGATTACAACGACGACCTCCTGATCATATTACCGATGTACCCCATCTTTTCTTTTACAACCCTGTTCGCCATCCTCTCCTCCACTGACACTTCTTCAGCATGATCTTGGAGAACATCATCGCCATGGTTGCTGGAGGCTGGTGCCAGCTCCGGATGGTATGACCTTGAAGTGTGTTCGTTCTCTCTTAAAACAACTACCCACTGCATATTGTGTTGTGTTTTTCACATACACATACTGTGCATTAAAGATATCGCACAGTTTGGACTTGCTCAACATGTCGTTGACAATATTCTGAATATGTTTCTAAATGCAGTGTCCTATCTTTTCTCCCTAATTCCATTTAATTTCGCTGCAGATTATGACAATTTGTTGAATGGACTTGCTTGTGCTAAAGAGGTAGTTGTTATATTTGATGTCAAATTAATATTCCCAGTATGTATTGCCAAATGCTTTGCAGGGATTTATAAAACTGTGAGTTTTATTTTATTTTGTGTAATAGAGATTACTTCAAATATATGTTTCGTCAGGCTCAAGTTGGAGTTTGTTTATGTGAATTGGGCGCATTATAATTGTTATATAACATTAGTAAAAAATATGCAAGACATTTTTTAAATTGTAAGTTATACTTTCGTTGGGACCTATCCAACTCAATGGTTTTGGGTAAGGGTGACTTACTTTAAGATAGGTTTGAGTTAGACAGCACTTATGAGGAGTTTTGTTTCAGGAATAATACTCATGTTAAATTCACAAAAATGATTTTCGTGACTTCATTTGAAATTAGATGAAACATCAAAGGATTTTTAAACAAACAAAACAAAACATTAGAATCATTATGCGCGAGAAGAACATATTTTAGTATGAATGCAAAGGTTAATGCTCTGTAAATATATATGATACAGGGGTATTACTTGTATTGTGTATTCTGTAATGTTCTTGTATAAAATTGGTAATGACAATAATGATTACATTATGCTTACATCGTACATTAATTATAGCGTTTAACTAAATGCTAGATCTAGTAATTTGTTTATAATTTCTCCTCCAATATTTTGAAATTGCCTCTTTTACACCAAATAATAATTAGTTACAATGAGAACAGGCTTGATATTTTCAATTCTTCTATAGAAGACATTAAAAAATTGTCCTGCTTCTATAGCTGAGATCGTCTATTTGTTTTTTCATTCCTTTTTTGTTTGTCAAATTTTATAGTTATGTAATTTCCTGTTATTAATTGACAATTATACTTTTTAATTTTAATAGTTTTGTTTGATGTACTCATATTCTTGTATATTGTATATCTTGTATATTTAATAAATCGGCATATTAAATAACGCACCATTTATTGTAGTACAACCTTGAGTTTGGAAATAAAAAAAATCGACAATTACGTAAGTACTTTAGCTAAATGTGCTGTATATTTCAGTCCTTGCACTTAATTATGGGTGGTGGTCCCGCAGGACCTGCAGGAACAGGTAAAACTGAAACAACGAAAGATTTGGGCAGAGCTCTCGGAATTATGGTCTATGTTTTTAATTGTTCAGAACAGATGGATTACAAAGTAAATAACCACTTAAATGTGGGTATGTGGATTAATATAGTCTGGTTTTAGTCCTGTGGTAATATTTACAAAGGACTGGCACAGACTGGAGCTTGGGGATGTTTTGATGAATTCAACAGGATATCAGTGGAGGTTCTCTCTGTCGTGGCTGTTCAAGTAAAATCTGTTTTAGATGCTATAAAAAATAAAAAAACCACTTTTGACTTCATGGGTGATATGATATCTTTGGTGCCAACCGTAGGCATATTTATAACGATGAATCCAGGTTATGCGGGAAGGACAGAGTTGCCAGAAAATCTAAAGGCCTTATTCAGGTAAAATTATTATCTGCCAGTAAACATTAGTTAGTAAAAATAAAATAAATAAAATCGTTGATACTTGGGAAATCCAATAATTTTATAACGTGTTAATGAGCAAATCAATATTATTTAATAAGTAAGAATGCAGTCAACGCCACTATATAAATAGTAAACTTTTCTAAAAATGTTTTTAACAAAAGTTTGTATAACTGGTTTTTGGTATGAGGGAAAATGTTAATTAAAACGTGACAATTTTTACTTAAATCTCAAATTTTTTCTTCTGAAGAAGGGATAATTAAATCCCGAAAGCTCGAGTAATAAAGAAGAGTTTTTACATAGAATTCGAAAATATATAATACATTTTCTCAAGTAAAATCCCTTTAGTAATCAGTTTTACCACTCTTTCCAGTGTGCATATTTTAATATTTCTGTTGCAGACCATGTGCTATGGTAGTTCCTGACTTTGAGCTTATTTGTGAGATAATGTTAGTTGCTGAAGGATTCCAAGAAGCAAAAATCTTAGCTAGAAAATTTATTACTCTATACACACTTTGTAAAGAATTGTTGTCTAAACAAGATCACTATGACTGGGGACTGCGAGCTATCAAGTCAGTATTAGTGGTAGCAGGATCATTGAAGGTAAAATTTGTAGCTTACTATCAGATCAGATTTAATTCAGATTCAAATTAATTGCAAATATTTTTATAGCGAGGGGATCCTGGTAGACCAGAAGAGGAGGTTCTTATGCGAGCTTTGAGAGACTTTAACGTTCCTAAGATTGTTACAGATGACATGCCAGTATTTATGGGTCTAATTGGAGATTTGTTTCCTGCTTTAGAGGTCCCCCGGAAGAGAGATGCCGATTTTGAGAGAACCGTTAAGCAAGCTGCTATTGACTTAAAATTACAACCTGAGGATAATTTTATTTTAAAGGTATCTAACTGATCGGTAATCAGTTGCTTTCTACATTAAATATACTAGTTTCATCATTTACCTTTAATACGTAAATTTTATCGGCTACGCAAAAAGTTTTTAGTAGTACGATATATTTTATTTTTATAATAAATTTGTACAACTCCGTAAATATTTATACCATGAATATTTGAGTAGTAACAAGTTTTCTGAAATGAGTTCGCAGTAGAGCAGGTACCTGTTGCTCAATGTTATGCATACTAATGTACAACCATTCGATGTTCAGACAGAGAATCAGCTCCGGTGTTAGTCTGGTAGCGTTGCCACTGCGCATCTGAAAATCGCGAACACGATGAATTTGGTCAAGTTTAGTGCTTACTAAAAAAATATTTCTTTTGCGACGTTTAGTATCTTTGTCCCTATTTCAAAAGGAAAAAGCAATTGCCTGAGGCCTCGTTTTGACTATTGTCTCTTTATTTTCCAAACTGTTTCTTTATATGCGTTGTAACACTCTCAGATGCATTTATAATGTACTCATAAATAAGCTGCATAAGAGGCTAAATATGTTACGTTTTTTGTGTGGGCTATTGATATTTCCTGAGATTTAGTTTCATTATTATCCTAATAAAATTTCAGCGAGCAGTTCGGATGCTAATAATATTTTCCAGCATATAGCGATAAGTTTTTGTAAGTAGAGAAAGAATCGCGCAAAATAAAGGCACAGACGATTCGCAGTGAGAAGTTAGCCGTTAGTGTGAAACCTCATAAGATCTAAGGTAATAACAATGATACATTATATTTAATAGATATTCATATCTAACTTTGATTTGAGTAACATGTTTATAACATTTCCATTTATATCAAATAAAACAAAACTATATATATTGTAGATTTTTAATTACACCGAGAAAAGAAATAAAAAATAAATTACTGTCACTGCTTTTGCTTGGGCGAAGATTTAGTAGCCAGACACCATCAGCCACACTAAGGAAGATATGATAATATTTGCCTCGGTAATGCAGAATTTAAAGAGTAAATGGCACTAATCCTGAAGCCACACCAGAGAATAGCCATTTTATTATAATGTACTACTGACTGTGAATGAGTGAGTACATTTTCCTCTTTTATCTTTTGGGTTTCACACAGATTATATCGAGCAGCATCACTGTCTTCTCCAGCAAAGGATCACCTAAAATTTAAATTTTATAAGCCATAAGAGCACGTGAAGAACGTTCATAAGTTTCATAACCTTCGCTTTTAGAATATTCTTGTCATTTTAGTCTGTAAGTTTGTCAATTTTTTTGCAAGTTGGCACGTTTATGTTTTAATACTTACCTTTAATTGTACATATACCTTAAAATAGCAACTTTAACTATATATTTTTATATTTATACATATTTACATTTATAAACAGCTATTTATAAAAATAACAAAAACAAAATTTATACTTACCGAAAAGGGCGGCCCTTTCAATTAATTAAATTTTCTAACTTTTATATGTACTAGTTAATATAACATATTTCTATTGTATTATATAATCCCAACTAATTTTTACGTTAAAATTTTATTTAGAACTATTATAAATTGTTTTGCTTATCTTTCCTCGTCGATTTATTCGACTGGCGTTCATGGTTTACAACTTAAATAATATCATAAAATAGAACAACAAAATATCGAACCCACGGCCATTAATAACTAATAGTAACCAATAATAAACAAAAAATAAATAAATAAAAGTAACCTGAAATAACTGAAGAGGTCACATCGTACTCGTATTTTTCAGATAAACTGTAAATTATTCTACTGTCCAAATCCTTTTTGTGTTTTTGAGATTTCTAAACTGTTGCCCCATATGTACAAATTTTTCAGCTCATGTGCAGAAGTACTACACAAACTAGTTTTGCATTCTACCGTGATCACAAATAACAATTAGAGTACTATTAATTTCGCAATTTATGTTAAACAAATGTCAAACAGAACCAAACACTGTCCTCAAAACCGTAGCATTATTTGTTGCCATTTTGTACTTTATTGCAGGTTGTGACAATGGTATATCACATTTAGTTTAATTTTGATATTTCAGTAGACAAAGACGAAAAAAATATTAAAATGGGACAAACAATGATAAAAATCGAAAAGACAAACATGCTTTAATTTCTTGCAGAATTTTCCGGGAAAGAAATTGAGTACTTTCAAAATCAACAAACTTTCAAGAAACAATGACATCACTAGCAATTGCACCATAATATATTTTTCACTTTTTCATAATTAAAAATCAAACACATAAAACGTATAAAAAGATATTGTGAAAACCTTTCCAGACTTACCCCTTCCAAAATCTTACCTTGTCAAAAAAATAAAAATAATTTTCTTCATAAAACGTTTTCCAAAAGATTACATGATGCTTTATAATTTATAAATTCATCAATCAGAAACCATTAATTACAATTATGAAGCATTTACAGACCTTATATCGACCAATTTTTTACCAAAAGTTTGCAATCACAAGATATTAAGAGCTTCTAAAAATATTTATTAAACTAAGTATGAAAGTTATAGATTTTAATTTCACCATGGAAGACCTGATAGAAGGAATAATACATCATTGCAACGAAATTCGAGACAATCTTAGAATATTGCTTCAAGTACAACGAGAAAACATTCAGCGGATAAGGAAATGTATAGCGGTAGGGCGCTCATTTCGAAAATCTGCTCAAGTAAACAAGAAGAAGCAAAGCTTTCGAATTTTTAACATCCTTGCATTTAAGTGATTTGAAAATGTATCAGAATAAATTTTTCTTGCCTCAACACAATTGTCGAGTGCTTGTCCATAAGTTAGATGCATGTCAGCATTAATGAGATGTAATAATAATAATAATGACAAATGTGGAGGGTCAATTAAGCCGGTTTTCGGCCCCTTCATTTTTGGCCAAAAAAATATTTTTTTTTAATTATTTATATTCAATAGTTATTGGAATCGATTCCACTCCAAACGGTACCTCCCCCCTTCTTCCTAGTCAGAATCGAGGTCAATTAGGGATTATAAGTCAGATCAGAAAAAGTGTATTAAATCAAAAGATCTCGGAGTTTAGGTTTTTTGGATCGCTGAGTACGAATCGGAGTTTGTCTGTATCAGGCTATTTTAAGGTTGTTTTAAGGTCATTTCAAGGTCAAATTGAGAAAAAGCCGAGCAACTAAGTTCAACCACTTGTTATACAGGATTTTGGAGTCGGTGGGTTAGAATCCAAGGTTAATTTGTCTGTATCAGGTTATTTAATGGTCGTCTCAAGGTCATTTCAAGATCAAGTTGAGAAAAGCAAAGCAATTAAGTCTAATCGTCTGTTATATAGTTTTTTGGGTTAGCTGAGTTCGAATCCGAGGTCAGTTTGTCTGCATTTGAGGGTTACTTCAAGATCATTTTAAGGTCAAACCTAGACAAAACCTAGAAATCGATTACCGTTCTTGAAGTCTCTGAGTTTGAATCCAAGGTTCGTTTATACATTTGTATCAAATTAGATTTAAGGTCATTCCAAGGTGTTTTGAGAAAAATAACGTTTTCTGGTAAGATTAGTGAGGGGCGATTTCGGACCTCATTATATTTCACTGAATCTTGTCGGAAACTAAAGACTGAACTGACCAAATTAACCTTTATAAACTTCACTGCGTTCGAATCCGAGGTCAGTTGTCTGTATCAGGTTATTTGAAGGTCGTCTCAAGGTCTTTTCAAGGTCAAGTTGAGAAAAGCCAAGCAATTAAGTCTAACCGTCTGTTGTCCACGTATTTGGAGTTGCTGAGTTCAAATCTGCGGTCAGTTTGTCTGTGTCAGGTCGTTTGAAGGGTATTTTAAAGTCATTTGAAAGTTAATTTATGGAATAAACCCTGGAATCGATTACAGCTGAGTCCGAATCCGCGGTCCATTTATATGTATATTAATAAAAGTTCTAGGTTACTCCAAGGTTGATTTGATAAAAGGGAAGGAGGGGAGATAATGAAACTAATGAAAAAAGACAATAAGTATTTTGTATGAATTATAAAACCGTTATTTGCAAACTTCAAGTACCATATATTTTGAGTTTGTAAAGTAGAGGATAAAAAATTATTATACAAGCCAATATGGATTGCCAAGGGTAAGAGTCAGTATGGGCCGAAATAGATTAGCATACGATTTTTACAGTGCAATACGGATTACTATAAGGTAATATTGATTTTTACAGAATAATATGGGTTGGAAAGGGGTGACCTAGTTTATTATGGGTTAGATAGGATTGGGGTAAGATATGGGGAAATATGGGCTGGTATGAGGTAATAAGGGTTTTTATGTAGGAATATAGCTGTTTATTGGGTAAGATGGAATGGAATAAGACGGGTATGGGTTATGATGGTCACGCATGAGTTGGTTTATACGGAGTAATATGCATGTATATCGAAACGTGCGTGTATATGGTAAAATGGTTATGGTTAGTATGAGAGAATACAGCGTTTTGATGAGGAATATGGGTGGATTCGAGGTAGGAAATAATATGAGTTTTTGTGAAGTTTATAAAGGTTCATATGGTCAGTTCAGTCTTTAGTTTCCGACAAGATTCTGTAAAATATAATGAGGTCCGAAATCGCCCCTCACTAATCCTACCAGAAAACGTTCTTTTTATCAAATTAACCTTGAGACGACCATTAAATGACCTGATACAGACAAACTAACCTTGGATTCTAACCCATCGATCCCAAAATCCTATATAACAGGTGAACTTAGTTGCTCGGCTTTTTCTCAATTTAACCTTGAAATGACCTTAAAACAACCTTAAAATAGCCTGATACAGACAAACTAATCTCCGATTCGAATTCAGCGACCCAGAAAACCTAAACTCCGAGGTCCTTTGATTTAATGCACCTTTTTCTCAATCTGGCCTCTAATTGACCTTAATCCTGACTAAGAAGGAGGGGGGAGGTCTCGTTTGGGGTGGAATCGATGAGTTATTGGATATAAATAATAAAACCGGCCTAATTGACCCTCCCCCTTTTATTATTTTGATATGAATTATTAGTTGTGATGTTATTGGATTAGTTATTGCGTTATCTAGCTTATGTTAACAAACTTGATAATTAAATCCATTTCGAAAGTTTAAAAGTGTTACACAATAACTTTTTTTTCGAAAACGGCTAATTTTATCGAAAGAAATACAGAGTACCTTTTTTAAAGAGGAAATACCAAAGTATTTAAAAATTCAATTTTCAGCTCTACAAAATGACACCTGTCAAAATTTTGGGCCAACGAGTGTGGTGACAAGTCTGTTCCCTGACTTCCTTGACAATATAAACGATTTACGATTTTACGAGCCTTTATGGCCTAAGTACATAAAATTTTAAAATTTCATTAAATTATACACGTCGCGTCGTGTCGGTTGAAAAGTTAGAGCCGAAAAGATAAATCGCTGGGTACCCCTTTGTATTTCCGTTAAGGGGTACTTTAGGTTTTTTTAAGACAAACTAGGGTTACTTTGACCTCCTCTATACACTCCCGAGAGTATGCCATATACTTAGCAGACACCCTGTCCATATAACTGTCATTATTACTTTATATATCGCACTTTCACGGGAAAACACTACATAGGAGGTGCGTCGGTCAAACTCGTGCGGCTTCAGCGGTGGGGATGTGGATCTCTGCGTGCGGCGCTGTGGCGTATGTGATCACATCTCACATCAGTTAGGTTGCAGTACCCAGTACTCCCCACCCTTCCGAAATTACGAACTCGAACGAAGCTAATTCCCTGTGTAGCGTTGTACGGTAAAAGCACGTTATATTTGATTACAACTACACCGTGCTTGTCTTGTTCTTCTAATATAATTTTATAGTCGCATCTTTGTGATATTATATGAAAAAAGAGCCTTGTATTAAATTATTTTCACTTCTACAGGTCGTTCAACTCGAAGAGTTATTGGAAGTAAGACATTCAGTTTTCATAGTCGGGAATGCTGGAACTGGCAAGACTGAAGTGTGGAAGACGCTGTTCAGAACCTACATTAATATAAAAAGGAAACCGATATTTAACGATATAAACCCTAAAGCCGTTACAAATGACGAACTCTTTGGAATCATAAATCCAGCCACCAGGGAATGGAAGGATGGATTATTGTCAGTTCTAATGAGGGATCAAGCAAATTTGTCAGGTGACAACCCCAAATGGATCGTATTAGATGGAGACATCGATCCTATGTGGATTGAATCTTTAAACACCGTAATGGACGATAACAAAGTTTTAACTTTAGCGAGTAATGAAAGAATTGCATTGACCCCTGCAATGCGCCTTCTCTTTGAAATATCTAATTTGAAAACGGCTACTCCTGCAACAGTGTCGAGAGCTGGGATACTCTACATTAACCCACAAGACCTCGGCTGGAATCCGTAAGTTATTTTTCAGAAATATAAAAGACGTATAAACATAAGAACCACTATTAGATACAGACTATGTAACGAAATACTTATATAATTTAACTAAAACTATTCTTAGAACAGTTAATAACAAGCATCAACATATCAATCACACCACTAAAATATCAGTGACTTGCGAAGGGTGTAGGGAGTGTAATATGTATGTTTGTGACAAATTGATATAACTCTAGAACTACGTAACGATCGACATTTTCCTTTAGAGGACACATTATATACCGTAACAATCATACCACTAAAACTTCGTTGACTTGCGAAGGGTTTAGTGGGTTAAAAATGTAATTTCTTTAATACGTATATTCATAACAAACTGATATAATTTCGGAAATACGAGATGGCCCGCAATTTCCGTTGAACGACACGTTGGCAGTGACGTAATAATCTTACCCTCAAAAATTTCGTTACTTGCGAAGGGTGTAGGGGGCTGAAAGTAACAATTATTTGATATGCATCCTTACTCCAGTCGAATTAGATCATAAAACCTGAAAAATCTGAAAAATTATTAGTAGACATTTTATTGCATTGATGGGGAAGGATATGTAGAATGATAATATAAAAAAGTAACTAGAACGACGTAACGCCAAGTTGGCGAATTGCAAATAAGCTGCAAAATTACATGTTTTTTCACTTTTTTTACTATCCATGAAAATCTAGACGACAAATCGGAAAATTAATTGTTCTATGTTGTAGGTAATTAAATTACATACAGTTTAAAGTACCTGGAGTCCCTTTTCACCTACTTGTTAACTGCAAAGTAAAGGTCGAATGCAGAAAAATCCGTTTTCGAAAATTGCGTTTATTACTACAAAAAGCGATGGATGTTGATGAAATTTATGGAAAAGACGGTCAATCTAAAGAGCATCATGTGTACCAAAGGCCAATTCGATTGACCTTGAAATTGTTGCTCGAGCTATTTGTTAATTAATTTGGTTCTTTTTGCAACTAATAGTTTAATTACCGATCGTTAAAATTAGAAGTTAATGGCGTAGATATTGGTTCTAATTGATCCATCGAAAAGGAAACATTTCAAAAAGTTCAAATTAAGTTGTCCTTTTACAACTAACAAATTTGTTTTTTTTTTGGCATTGAATAGAGCTTATTTTTACGTTAATTTAAAAAAAGTATATATTTTTTTACAAAGCGATTAGATCTTAAATTTTGATTTTTACTGTTTGTCGCTACTATAGTGAAATCTATTCGTTTTTTGTGACATTAGTTTGAATTCCTCATATAAGAGGCACCAAGTCCCTTCGCACTTAGTTACTCTTTATTATATTTAGTATGATAATAACAAGGAGAATTATTTTGTTTAAATTGTTGTTTTTGGTTCATATTGTCAACTAAATTTTGAAATTGATTTGTGAATTTGTTAAATATCTAATAACATATCGTTTTTACGTTATTTTAGTGATTTGTGAAGATTGAGTTAGATTGCTCTTTTGACATTCAGATATAAAAGGATTTAAAGGTTAATAAGTTTCCCATATTTTATTTGCTATTTCTAGTATATCATTAACATCTTCCTTGCCAGAGGTTGTTATTGCCACCAATATGGTTTTTGGTAGATGCCGTTTCCATAATTTTAGTAGTAATTCTTTGCTAACTATTTGCGTTCCGCTAATGCCATTCAGCATTTCTCTAAAGAAGAAGAAAATTTTGCTAATACAAATTGCGCTTCTATTTGACTAAACCAAATTTCCGATTTTGTTTTCCAAAACGGTGGTAATTTGATTGTAAAGATTTTGTTTTTTTCATTAACCATTTCATTTGTTTAATTCATTTTGAAGTAATTAAAAATAGTTAAAAATTTAGTTTATTTTTGAAATTGAGACTAGGTTTATATTATGTGTAGCAACTTTACCAAAAGAATCAATATATCCCAATTTTTATTTTTAAAGATTTCGATTCTTTTTTCTTCACTTTTCCTATTGATAGAATTTTTCTTTCTTACTTTCTTAAAAATGGAAAATTTTGATACCGTTTCTGAAGATTTAGTTTCGCTTCTTTTTCTCCTACTTTTGTTTCTTGAACTTCTTTTTCATTTAAATGCCTAGAATCATTTTTAAAGTTGTGTTCGTAGTCGGACTCACCAGTTTGTGGGGGTCTTACTATTTCTTCTTGTTATATGTATACCTACTTGCTTTAAACTAAATATGATTATCTTCTTAAAAGGTTTATTTTATAAAAATGCAGTTCAATGTTATATTGCTTTGTAAATACAACGTGTATTACTCAAAGATATATTTTTGAGGAAAGGATTACTTTTATTTTCAAAAAGTTTTACATTAATAATTCAAGTAATAAACGCATTAGCAACAGTAGATGTTAACGTTAATAAACGAAACGAACGAAAAAAACGAAAGAAATTAATTAACTAATAGCTGGAGCAACATTTTCCAGGTCAATCGAATTGGTCTTTGGCATACATGTTGGTCTTTGGATCGTCTTTTTCATACATTTCATCAACATCCGTCGCTTTTTGCAATAATAATGCGCAATTTTCGAAAACTGATTTTTCCGTGTCTGACCTTTATTTTACAGTTAACAAATAGGTGACTTAAGGTACCTCAAATTGTAGGTAATTTAATTGTCTACAAAATAAATAATTAATTTTCTGATATGTCGTCTAGATTTTCATGGACAGTAAAGAAAGTCGAAAACACGTAATTTTGCAAGTTATTTGCAATTTGCCAACTTAGCGTCACTTCTTTCGAGTTAGTTTTTTGATATTATCATTCTCCATACCTTTCACCGTCATAAAGTGCAATAAAATGCCTACTAACAATTTTTTCACGTTCAAATTTTAATTTCACTTGAGTAATTCATGACAAATTGTCATAACTGTGGAACTATGCGATGGCCCATATTTTCCGTTGGAGGACACATTGACAGTAACGGAATAATCTTACCCGTAATATTTCATTTAATTGCGAAGGGCCTAGGGTGTTAAAACTATCAATTACTTAATATGCATATTCATCGACATAATTTCGGAACTACTCGACAGCACACATTTTCCGTCGGAGAATACATTGGTAGTTACGTAGTTAAAAATATAATATAATTATTTAATATGCATATTCATAAATTAACATAACTGCGGAACTATGAGACAGCCGACATTTTTCGTTGGAGGACAACTTAACAGTAACGTAATAATAATAATAATAGGTATCTTTAAAATTTCATTTACTGAAAATGTCAATGATATAGTAAGTACAAGTATATTCGCAGTAAATTATTATACTTTTGTAGCAATACGACGGCGACGGCCCACATTTTTCATTCGGGGATACATTGCTTGTAGTCTAATGATCGTACTCCTAAAGTTTCGTTCACTTGCAAAAGCCTAGAGTGTTGAAAATGTGAATTATTTAGTAGGTATATTCGTAGCAAGTGACCATCTTTTGGATATGATTGGAAGACAATTAAGGGATCACGTGAATCGGCCTAATAGCATGGGTCATATTCTTCTTAAAATACGGAATGAACCGAAACAGAGGTGAATGTATCCGAAATTATAATTAATTGAAAGTATTGATTTCTATAAAAAAATTGCAACTTTTCATGTTTCCAGTTTGTTTTTTCAAATCGATTTGTTATTCAGATGATAATATTGGCACAAAGTTTTCTTCGTGGAACCAATCTCATATCATCTCATCTCATGCTAATACAACTAACTTGGTTTTAGTCATAGTCGTTCGGCTCTAAAATTTAGAAAGGTCTTTTTCTATATTTTAATTTAGCTCTCCTAGAAACTGCTTTCTACCAAATTCGAGTGAAGTATCTGTTGCATCAAGCGTTCATGATGTATTTTTAAACATTACGCCATGTTTGGCATTACAGTAGGTTTTTATTTGGTAATAAAAAAACTATCATACTCATTATTGTAAACCAAATAACAAAAAATGCAGTCCACTAAACATAATATAATATCTTTGATTCAACACATAATCATTCCCGAGCTGCAAGAGCCCACGAGACGGGTTTGTAGCCAACATTTATTGGTCCAAGCGAACCTGATCATCAGCAGGATAGTAGCAGCAAGAGAGGTGTACGCAGCGTAGCAAGAAACGCCGACATAGCAGCAGATAACACGAAGTATATCGGGTGATAAACAGCTATAAAAACAGCTTCAGTTCTCAAGGTCTCTCTGAGTCAATTCCTACTATATTCCTCATTATATTCCTCCTATTTAACCCAAACCCCTAATAATTCCCCAATAAAATAGTCTCCAGCCTAAAACAGAGGTTATTTCAAAATATTTAACGTTTTTATCTCAATTTTAGTCAGCATGACAGACCTCATAAAATTAAATAAAAGGGAGGCTATTTTAAAAGGCCAATTAACTCGTTTTTGTAACTTTTTAAATGCATTCAATAGCGATACGGATTCAATGATTGCGCTACAAACACGGCTAGACACAATAAGAGATATTCACACGGAATTTGATAATATTCAGTCTGAAATAGAGTTCGCTAGCGAGGACGATCAAGTAGAAACACACCACAATGAGAGTGTAGATTTCGAAAATAAATACTTTGAAACTATTGCACGTAGTAAATAAATTATTGGAGAATTGGTTAGTCAAAGCGACTCACTCACAAGGGCATCTCCCATAAGAGACTTCAACATTAAATTGCCACCAATTAATCTGCCTGAGTTTGACGGAGATTATGAAAAATGGTCACCTTTTGCTGATATATTCAAAGCGGTAGTTCATGACAATTCTTCTTTAAATAAAGTTCAGGAGCACCAATATTTAGTATCATGTTTGAAAGGTTCGGTGGCAAAAGTCATAAGTGGTTTAAGCATTGCAGACAAAAATTACGATTCGGCATGGAAACTTTTAAGCGAGCGGTATGAAGACACGAAATCAATAATAAACTCTCACCCCAAAACAATATTTATGTTACCTAGCAGTATTAGGGACACTCACATATCTCTTAGAATGT